TTTTGAATTTAAAATTTTTCCTTTTCCTAGACTGGTTGCCATTCAAGGTCATAGAACTCAGTCTGTCCTGCTATTTACCCATAGCTTTTTTAGAAGAAGAGGATTCATACCTTTCCCAATGATATTAGCACATAAGTGAATGTAATGGATCCGACTGGAATTCAAAGTCAGCTTTCCGATTCCTCAATCCAAGCCACTATCCATTACTCCACGGTACCTCCCAATTTAGTGTTAACTTCACTTCATTTAAAAGGATAACATTTGATTGCAATTGCAAGAGAGAAGTTGTCACTCATCAAATATTACCCATGTTATTCCAGTTTCAAAAAAAAAAAAAAAAAAAAGTTCAAGGAGGATGGAATAATGAGGTTGCCTGAAAGGCGACAGAAAAAAAAAAAAGGGGGAGAACAAAATAAACTTGTTTTTCAAGGAAGTCAATACGCTCCTTCCCAGATACTCTAACTAGGTCTGCTCAGCATAGCTACAGTATAAACCACAGTGTTGAATAAATACAAAAATGTGTCTGAGCAGGCATCTGCAAAAGGGATTGGCTAGCCCCCTTAGCATATGGATACAAACAGCCAGCCATTCGTCCAGTGTGCCCAGGTGAACTGGCTCAGAAATACTAGCTTAAGGGGTGTAAAACTGCCAGTCACTATACAGCGTTTATTCCTATGACCACACAGTTTATATCAACAAATGCTCTATCACGGACACTGAGCACCATTTCCACATAAATATAGTAAAAAAATAAATAAATAAATAAATAAAAATAAATAAATTAAACGGACGTAAAATCTGCAGACACGGGGTTGTATTTCTGCATTTATATCAAGATGGCAACGTTGTTACGTAAGTTTTCCTTTATTTATTGTTGGGTTGGGTAAATGTTGATTCGCTCTAAACACCTCCGTACCAAATAATGGAATTGGAATAACCGCCTCCACATTTTGTGGTGCTTCATATTCTCTTGGATTTGAAAAATCATGCATCAGAAAAAAAAAGAAAGAAAAGAAATGAAAAAAAAAGCGACATATTTCAATTCTCAATTCCCCGTAAATAAAAAGTAAAAAAAGAAAAAGAAACGACAATTAATTCGAGATTTATGGCCAACAATTTGTAATTAACGCAAAAACTGTCAAGAAAGCTAGAATGAATAACTTAGAAAAGTTCCACATGTGAGTGAGGATAGGTATTTATAGCTAAAAAAAAAAAAAAAAACAAAGAGTTTCAAAAGGTAGGTATTTCACTGAATTCAGTGTTTGGTACGTGGAAATTATAATTGTTTCTAAGGTGTTTTGAACTAATTACAAAAGTTTTTAAAGTCAATAATAAGATATTTTTTTCAGCTCCTCGATAAAATAACAAAACAAAAAAAAAAACATTGAATTTCGAAACACGTACAACACTTTAAAATTTAAATTGTAGCATAGCGGATTCTTTCTGCTTTTAAAAAAAAAGACTATTCATTTCACTAAAGTTCTTAAAAATATAAAAAAATAAAATATTTTGTTGGAGGTCGTCATATTATTTTGTTTGACCGACAGTTTTCTTAACAAAATCATTTCCTCCTTGAGTCAAGCAAGGGTTAACAAGTTAATTATTTAACTTTCTCCAACTTTTGTTATACTCAGTTTAGAAAATAAATATTGGCATTAAAAACTTAGTTATTCGTTGTAGTTTTTAAAATACCAAATTCCACAACATTTTAAAAATGTGTATTATTATTTATATTTTTACCGTAAAACCAAAACCTGAAACGATTTTTAGTTCACACACGAATTACATAACGAAACAAAAATGCTTTCTGACTCACCATTTGTCTTGAAGGAATTCTGGAGGGCCATAACTGACCTGTGGAGATTCTGTTGGTCCAGGAGTTGCCTCTGGGGTAGAGAAAAGGCCGTGGGGAGCTGCTAAAACTTCGAATAGCAGCCAAAAAGCCCGGCGTGGAAGAAACACCACGGGTTATGAAAAAACGGCAGCAGCCATTTTGAGTTTTCCAAAACGAGGCTAACCTTAAACTCTGACCTCTGACCTTTGACAATTTTATTTGCTTTATTTCCCTAACCTCAAAAAATAAATTTACTATTATATATATATATATATATATATATATATATATATATATATATATATATATATAAATAATAAAAAATAGTGCTCGATAAAAAAGTAGAGCATAAATATAATTATTTATTTAAAATTTATGGAATCATATTTTTAAATAAATAATTATATATATATATATATATATATATATATATTTTTTTTTTTTTTTTTTTTGAACAATAAAAAATATACAGTGTAACCCGGATATAAGAGAGTTGTCGGGACCGTAGAAGAAGTCTCTTATATCCGGGTTTGGTCTATTATATATACATTAACACAGGCTCTAATTTGGGACCAGAGAAAATCTCTCTTATATCCGGGTTTCTCTTATATCCGGGTTACACTGTATTAAAAAATTAAAATCTTCAGACACACTGGGTTGTAGATT